CCTGTTACTTCCTGGTTGGTTAGCTCAGGGGAGATAAACTCAAGAGGCAGCAATTGCCCGGAGCACCTGCCTTGCAAAGTCTTCTCATTGAGCTGCATTGGGAAGCCTGTGATTGGACAGCCACAGAACATGTGGGCGGGGTTAGAGGAGGAAGGGCTTGCAAAGGCTGCAGACGATATCTGCAGTTTCTACAAACCCTTTTACATATACCCATAATTAAAAATGTTATGTGTTCTTGTGGTGGTTTTCAGTCTGTCCATTCTTTCCTTCTGCTTCCTGTCCTGCAATGCCCTGTATAGTGCAAATTCTCTGTATAGCTTTACTTACTGTATAGTGCAAATTCTCTGTATAGCTTTACTTACTGTACATCGCAGATTCTCTGTATAACTTTACTTACTGTATACTGCAGATTCCCTGTATAACTTTACTTACTGTATAGTGCAGATTCTCGGTATAACTTTACTTACTGTATAGTGCAGATTCTCAGGATAACTTACTGTATAGTGCAGATACTCTGTATAACTTATTGTATAGTGCAGATTCTCGGGATAGCTTTACTTACTTTCCAGTGCAGACATTTTATCTTAATACATATAATACCATACTATACTGTCGTCATGCCAATATGCGCCCGGTCATTAATTTTCCAGCTGTAATTCTCACTTATTTCTGTTTTCTCACAAAACTGATAGTTTTATGTAACGTACGAAGACCCAGCCTGATGGAAATTGCACGCACTGAGGGTCCTTTTTACATTTAATTTAGTTTATAAACCATTAGCAGAGTTACAGCATTAGTGGCAGCTCTTCTCGTGGCACTTTATAATTTTTATTTCTTTCTTTATAGGCTTTCACAAGTGAAATGACAAATCGCGGTGGAGTGAGTTCCTCTGACGCAGGAAGCAGTAAAGCCACCTCCAGAAACGTCTCGTGTAAGACTTCCTTTAATACACACCTGGTGATGCTGGGAAATAGCGCAGGTGGACGCTCAGCCTTCATTTTCTATATTTCCTGCTTTTTATAAAGTGAACGTAAACCAATAATCAGAGCGGATGGACAGCTAAGGCCAAAATATTGAATAACTGATATATAGATATATAATATACTTTATTTACAATAAATCCGGCATTTTATCAGCTGTCAGTCCTCTAGCTGGTAATAAATGAAAAATCTTTTTAGTAAAATGTATTTTCCTTTATCACACAGCTTTCTATGGGACTGTGACATCTCCAGATCTCGGGGTCCATGAGATGAAGATCGGAGCTGTGACTTTCCAAGTTAATACGGGCGATATAACCAGTGAAGACACAGACGTCATTGTCAGCTCGTCTAATGAAACCTTCACCCTACAAACAGGTTTCTGAAATATCCAGCGTACCATTCACATCTTCACATTATATTCCAGGAATAATACCATACTCATATAATACCCCAATAACTGCCCCTCACTCCAAAAACAACCTCTTGCTTATTACCCCAATAACTGCCTCTCACCCCAGCAACTGCCTCTTGCTTATTACCCCAATAACTGCCTCTCACCCCAGCAACTGCCTCTTGCTTATTACCCCAATAACTGACCCTCACTCCAGCAACTGCCTCTCGTATATTACCCCAATAACTGCCCCTCACTCCAAAAACAGCCTCTTGCTTATTACCCCAATAACTGCCTCTCACCCCAGCAACAGCCTCTCGCTTATTACCCCAATAACTGCTTCTCACCCCAGCAACTGCCTCTCGCTTATAACCCCAATAACTGACCCTCATTCCAGCAACTGCCTCTCGTATATTACCCCAGTAACTGCCCCTCACTCCAAAAACTGCCTCTCGCCTATTACCCCAATAACTGCCTCTCACTCCAAAAACTGCCTTTGCTTATTACCCCAATAGCTGCCTGTCACTCCAGCAACTGCCTCTCGCTTATTACCCCAATAACTGCCCCTCACCCCTGTAACGGATCACCTGGCACCCCAACTGGGTACCTCCATTGAAGGATGCTCCTAGCGCTTACAGAGGGCTCCAAGCGCTCCACAGACACCACAACTACTGCAGACCCCATGAACCGCTGCAGCTTGGCTAGGGTCTCGCCATCTCCTACCCACCCTGGACCTACGACAAGGCTCAAGATTCCAAGAGAGGGAAACAGGAACAAGCTCTTAAAAGAGCATATATTACTCTTGAAACTAACCCTCACCCCTGCAACTGCCTGTCTGCTATAACCCCAATAACTGCCCCTCACCATCAGAAACTGCCTGTAGGTCACACTCGTGGCGGGTGTATATCTGTGTAGCTCACACTCGGGGCGGGGTGTATATCTGTATATCTCACACCGGGGGGCGGGTGTATGTCTGTGTAGGTCACACTCGAGGCCGGTGTATATCTGTGTAGCTCACACTCGGGGCCGGTGTATATCTGGGTAGCTCACACTCGGGGCGGGTGTATATCTGTGGAGCTCATGCTGGGGGTGGGTGTATATCTGTGGAGCTCACACTCGAGGCCGGTGTATATCTGTGTATGTCACGCTGGGGGCGGATGTATATCTGTGTAGCTCACACTCTGTTTGTGTTCCAGGTGTATCCAAGGCAATCCTGTGTGCGGCTGGCCAGAGCGTAGTAATGGAATGCACACAATTAGGTAAAAAAAATTATGTGAAATCTGGGCCTTTAGTGCGTTTAAAGTGACCGCATGCTGTTACCTGACATGACTCTCGTTCCGTTAATGCACAACTCAACAATGTGACCATCTGTAGAGCGTGCCGTGTGACAGCCTGTACCGTGTGCCGTGTGACCGTCTGTACCGCATGCCGTGTGGCCGCCTGTGCCGTGTGACCGCCTGTGCCGTGTGACCGCCTGTGCTGTGTGACTGTCTGTGCTGTGTGACAGTCTTTAACAGGGTCACACCTGTTAAACCTTTGGCACTCCAGAAGTTGTGGACTACATTATCCCCTTGTTCTGCAAGATGTATGGATGGATTGCCGAAGGTTGGCTCCCCCTGGTCTATAGTATATAGCATGTCATATGATCTCACAGTGCGTAGGAGATGGGAATATTGATTTGTTTCTGTATCGTATAACACAGCGCACACAATCTGACCCTTAACCCTTCATTTTCACAGGGACCCAGCCCCACAAGGGCTACATTATAACAACAAGCGGCAATCTTGCCTGTCAACATCTCCTGCATATGGTGGGACAGACAGACCCCTCTCGCATCAAACAGTCCGTGCTACAAGTACTCCAGGAATGTGAAAAACTTCAGGCCAGGACCGTCGCCTTCCCAGCTGTTGGAACAGGTAACATCTTAATCCAAACTGCACTGGAAATCACAAAGGGCAAGTCGACCTTACTTCTATATATACATTTATTGTAATGCAGCTCTACCTGCGAGGTGCAGGCGCTGTGTGTTTAATGCTTTCTGTTATCGTTACCCTGGGTGCAGGCGCTGTGTGTTTAATGCTTTCTGTTATCGTTACCCTGGGTGCAGGCGCTGTGTGTTTAATGCTTTCTGTTATCGTTACCTGGGTGCAGGCGCTGTGTGTTTAATGCTTTCTGTTATCGTTACCCTGGGTGCAGGCGCTGTGTGTTTAATGCTTTCTGTTATCGTTACACTGGGTGCAGGCGCTGTGTGTTTAATGCTTTCTGTTATCGTTACCCTGGGTGCAGGCGCTGTGTGTTTAATGCTTTCTGTTATCGTTACCCTGGGTGCAGGCGCTGTGTGTTTAATGCTTTCTGTTATCGTTACCCTGGGTGCAGGCGCTGTGTGTTTAATGCTTTCTGTTATCGTTACCCTGGGTGCAGGCGCTGTGTGTTTAATGCTTTCTGTTATCGTTACCCTGGGTGCAGGCGCTGTGTGTTTAATGCTTTCTGTTATCGTTACCCTGGGTGCAGGCGCTGTGTGTTTAATGCTTTCTGTTATCGTTACCCTGGGTGCAGGCGCTGTGTGTTTAATGCTTTCTGTTATCGTTACCCTGGGTGCAGGCGCTGTGTGTTTAATGCTTTCTGTTATCGTTACACTGGGTGCAGGCGCTGTGTGTTTAATGCTTTCTGTTATCGTTACCCTGGGTGCAGGCGCTGTGTGTTTAATGCTTTCTGTTATCGTTACCCTGGGTGCAGGCGCTGTGTGTTTAATGCTTTCTGTTATCGTTACCCTGGGTGCAGGCGCTGTGTGTTTAATGCTTTCTGTTATCGTTACCCTGGGTGCAGGCGCTGTGTGTTTAATGCTTTCTGTTATCGTTACCCTGGGTGCAGGCGCTGTGTGTTTAATGCTTTCTGTTATCGTTACCCTGGGTGCAGGCGCTGTGTGTTTAATGCTTTCTGTTATCGTTACCCTGGGTGCAGGCGCTGTGTGTTTAATGCTTTCTGTTACCGTTAGCCTGGGTGCAGGCGCTGTGTGTTTAATGCTTTCTGTTATCGTTACACTAGGTGCAGGTGCTGTGTATTTAATGCTTTCTGTCATCGTTACACTAGGTGCAGGCGCTGTGTGTTTAATGCTTTCTGTCATCGTTACACTGGGTGCAGGCGCTGTGTATTTAATGCTTTCTGTCATCGTTACACTAGGTGCAGGCGCTGTGCCCGCTACCCTCGTGGCTGATGCCATGTTGGATGCTGTTGCAGATTTTGTGAATAAAAGATTGGCACGGAGGATTCAAATTGTGAAAGTCGTCATTTTCCAAAAACCGATGATAAACGACTTCTATCAGAGTATGAAACAGAAGGAAGGCTCCGTCATGCCGCAACAACTATCACTGTTTCAGAAAATGGCCTGTGAGTTCTGATCCTTGTCTTAATCATTGTGAGCAAAGGCTCTGGTAGTACATAACCCATTCAATGACTGCACCTCTTCATTTCTGGGGGAAAAATAGCATTTTTAAAGTGAAAACATGCACTTTTGCCTGGTAATATCTGGCTGGGAGTGGCGATACCTGACTGGCAGTGAAGAGAGTTAAAGTCTCCAGGATCTCTTCTTGCCAAGTTTGGGTGAGAGAAATACTCCAAGCCTGCTGTAGTGTGTTTTTTGCTAGGAGCACAATGTAACCTCCCAGAGTAATTTGTCAAACTGTGTTAGAACCCGCGTCCCACCAGGTGCTCTCAGCTATATAAGACTTGGTTAGTTAAGGGAAGACAATAGTGGTTATGGTGCTTGGAGTGTTGCTGTAAGGGCTTTCCATGCAGATGGTGGACACACTGCGGTACAGTGCGCTCTGATGGTGTACTCTTAATTAATAGAGCCCCATCACTAGATCAACAGACGGATGCGTATTAGGGACTTTAATTTGTGGCTTGGTGAATGGTGTCGGGAGCAAGGATTTGGCTTTATTTCTCATGGTAGCTGTTTGGAATGGAGATAAGCTGTACAAAAAAGATGGTTTGCATCTTTCTCAAAAGGGAACAAATGTTCTCAGTGAGCAGTTCAGAGGTTTTGCTAGGATGTATTTAAACTAGGAGGGGGGGGGGGCAAAAGGGCGATAAAACATCAATCCAATTGTCCCCCAAAACAAGGACAGAAGGTGCCTGTAGCAAGTGTGTTAAAAAATGATAAGTTGGGGGCGGGGCCTGGCCGCCGAGCTGGGTGGACGTGGGGCGCCTCGGCTCCCTGACAAACCCGCAATAACCAGCTTCAAAATGCCCCTACTCGCCTGGAAAACCCTCAGCTGCTGTGAGAGGGCAAAGGGGACCCGACCACCAACCTTCGGGGCAAGTACCAGCCCCCACTCCGCTGGCGATGCGGTCTGGTGGGCGAGTGGGATTGCGGCCTGCTGTGAGGCCCTGGCGGGAGAGGCGGCCGATCTCCCGTGCTTGGTCCGGCGGGACCTCCCGCCGCCTGCTAAGGGCCCCGTTACCCCCCCCCTGTGGGCCGGGGGGGTTATCCCGGACCCCACCGGGGACGAAGCGCTCGTTCAGGGCATACAGGCTGAAGGAGGACTGACTGGGGACCGCATGGAAAATCCAAGATGGCTGCCGCGATCATTGATACCAGCATGAGGGGTATACTCCACAAGCAAGCCCAGCTCAGCATAATAACCCTCACACCAACAGTGGCATCACCTCCCATTAACACCAGTGGATATAAGGGGACTCTCTCTGGACTCTGACTCTGCCTGAAAAGGGGGAACAAGCTTCACTCCACTGCTAACTGTCAAGCCCCTGCACACTAAAACAACCAGCTACAAGCACAGATCTAGCACAGCCGCAAGAGGGATCAAAGCTTCCAACCACATATGCCTACAGAGATAACAGAATATGGTGTACCTCTTAATCCAGCACCCCATCCACAATTTTAATGTGTGTCTTCTGCATCGGACTTTCTTCCTGCAGTTAGAAAGTAATCAAAATGTCTGAGCCTGCATGTGTGTCCGACGCTCTGCTGCCCCCTGGTGGTTAAACTTAATTAAGCTTAAAGAAATCTGTTCTTGATGCTAACCTTAGCTTCTGTTTTAATGGCAAAAGTATGCTCACTGTTTTGTTTCTCACATATATGCCTAGCACAAATGCCGATTTAGACAGGTCAAGCATCAACTATCTCGCTGTATTTTATGTAACTTCACGCTAACGATTTAACTGTTTAGCCAAGCTTGCTAAAAATATAAAATTGTGCAGACTCTCATGCCACTGTTTAACCATTGTATATCTTGCAATACGCTGTTGTGGCGTCTGTTGATTCCTTGTACCCACCTGCACAGCAAAAATAAAGAATTTAAAAAAAAAAAAAATGATAAGTTTAGAGTCATGTCTACAAATGATCGCAGTTTAGGGAATAAGATCCATGAACTTGTGGCAATAATGGCAACTGATAGTGTAGATTTAGTCGCTGTTACTGAGACATGGTACAATGAGAAAAATGACTGGGACATAGCAATACCAGGGTACTCTTTATATAGGAAAGATAGGGAAGGCAAGAAAGGGGGAGGGGTGGCCTTGTATGTGAAAGATAGCATAAATCTAGCCTAATAAAAGTTAGTGAGGCAAACATAGAATCCGTTTGGGCTACGTTAGAATTTGGTAATCACACAGTAACTCGTGTAGGTGTGATTTATAGGCCCCCAGGACAAATTGAAGAGTTAGATAATCTACTAGTTGAGGAAATAGCTAAAATGACAATGAAGGGGAAGTTATCATCATGGGTGACTTTAATCTTCCTGATGTAAATTGGAAAACAAAATTAGCTACTTGTGCCAGGAGCACACATATTCTAAACTCCCTACTGGGATTGTCTCTAAAACAAGTCATTGAGGAGCCAACTTGTAAAGAGGCCATACTAGATTTAGTGTTAACAAATGGAAATTTGGTATCAGATATTACTGTAGGTGAAAGTTTAGGATCCAGTGATCATCAGTCAGTGTGGTTTAATATAAGAACAGTGACTGAGTCACACCACACAAAAACAAAAGTTTTTAGACTTTAGAAAAACAGACTTTTCTAAAATTAGAATATGGGTAGAGGAGTCATTATCAGACTGGAACAATTTAAATGGAGTCCAAGAGAAATGGGATTATTTAAAAGTTGCACTATTGAAGGCAACAGAAAATTGCATTAGGCTTGTCAGTAAAAGCAAAAAATTCAAGAAACCACTGTGGTACTCGCAGATGTGGCCAAAATAGTTAAAAACAAAAAGTTAGCATTTAGGAATTATAAAAAAAACCAGAGTGAGGAAGACAAAATGATCTATAAGATTAGGCAGAAAGAGGCTAAGCAAGTTATAAGAGCTTCCAAATCACACACAGAAGAGAAAATAGCACAGTCAGTAAAAAAGGGGGATAAAACATTTTTTTAGATACATAAATGAGAAAAGAAAAGTAAAACAAGGATTAGTTAGATTAAAAACAAAAGAAGGAAGGTATGTAGAAGAGGATAAAGGTCAGGCTGACTGCCTCAATGAATATTTTTGTTCTGTATTTACAGAAGAAAATGAAGGAAAGGGACCTCAGTTGAGAAAAAGGATAAATGAGTCATTTATTACACGTGAAGATATGGAAGGGCTGCGCCAAATAAGGGTAGATAGTCCAGTAAAGTATTGCTAGGGTGCCAATAGATGGTCTAGGATACTTGATAGAGTTCCTCTGTGGATGCGTCTGGTGTAGACCGTTCCGTATATGTAAATACAAGAGAGGTAGAAGCGACTAATGGTATAGTATGAAAGTTCAGGGTGTGATAGGTAACAAAAAGTAAAGAACTCACATTCAGGAGAGCTATGGCCAGCTCTGGTGTGGATTGCGTACAGCGGTATAATCCCCGCTTATGGGATATGTAGGGAGGGGTCTCCGTCAACACCGTCTGGTAGTCCAGAGCTTGAAAAAGAAAGACAGAAAGCAACAATAGTGCTCTCAATTTTGATGTGGTTCAATGTGCAGATAAGAAGAGGTAAAAAACTCACATTTGAGGGAGCTATGGCCAGCTCTGGTGTGGATAGCGTACAGCGGTATAATCCCCGCTTATAGGATATGTAGCGGCGATACGTCCGTCAGCACCGTCTGGTGATCCAAGGCTCCAATATAGTAGAATAAAAAGCAGCAATAGTGCTCTCAATTGTGATAGGTTAAGAGAGTAGTAGAGAAAATAAAATAATACTCACAAAGATAGAGCAGAGGTACTGCTCTATGGATAGGCGCTGGTGGTATGATCCCCACCTAGTATTTCTTGGAGTACTGGAACTTTAAAATTGCCAGTGGAAGTAAAAGTAACCAGGAAAGGTTAAAATGCCAGGAATAGGTAAAAACAAAAGTTGTTTAAAGTGCATAAAGAGTGCAATAAAAAGAGGATTGGTACAATAAAGTAGCCAAAAAACTTTTATTGATCTAAAATACACAGTAAAATACAGAATTAATAACCATAAACGCGTATCACCATAAGTGGCTTCTTCAGAATGGGATAAAAGTAGTAACCTGGCAGGGGTTGTTTAAATAGGGCTATGTTAATTTGAAAATTGCGCCAAAAGTGTAGTTGGCCAATCAGAGACAATTTTTAAAATCACTTTTCAAAATTAGGATTCAAGAGTATGGGAGTGATGTTATAAAGGTGATGAGTCCATTTAAATTATTTAAATGTGAAAACGAGGGTGAGAAAGTTGTTTTTTAAAGAGAAAGAAAAAAAAAGTTGTTTGATTAAAGTAAAAAAAAAAACAAAACAAAAAAAACACATAAGTAGATGGTTTAAAGGTACAGAGATACAGAGATATATGTAAATGGAGTATGCATGAAAAGGGGGTAGTATAATCCCAAACATAATGATTTAAATAGGGGTTATATTATACCCCAGAGTAATAATATATTACAGATGTTAAATGAAAATAATAGCTCCCTCAAATGTGAGTTTTTTACCTCTTCTTATCTGCACATTGAACCACATCAAAATTGAGAGCACTATTGTTGCTTTCTGTCTTTCTTTTCCGAGTTCTGGACTACCAGACGGTGTTGACGGAGACTCCCTCCCTACATATCCCATAAGCGGGGATTATACCGCTGTACGCAATCCACACCAGAGCTGGCCATAGCTTTCTTGAATGTGAGTTCTTTACTTTTTGTTACCTATCACACCCTGAACTTTCATACTATACCATTAGTCGCCTCTACCTCTCTTGTATTTACATATACGGAACGGTCTACACCAGACGCATCCACAGAAGAACTCTATCAAGTATCCTAGACCATCTATTGGCACCCTAGCAATACTTTACTGGACTATCTACCCTTATTTGGCGTAGCCCTTCCATATCTTTTTGTATCTATCCACCGAAGGACCCGAGGGGTTTTCCTTCATTTGGGTTGCTGCCTACCTTGACTAATTTTGTGATTACTAGCGCTGAATTCTTTTTGTGTTTATTTATTACACGTGAGTTTACAGAGGAAGAGGTTCTATCTCAACTGTCAAAAGTAAAGACAAATAAGTCAATGGGACCTGATGGAATACACCCAAAGCTATTAAAAGAGCTTAGTGGTGTACTAGCAAAACCATTAACAGATTTATTTAACCAATCATTGTTAACAGGAGTAGTCCCTGAAGATTGGAAGTTAGCGAATGTTGTGCCCATTTACAAGAAAGGTAATAGGGAGGAGTCGGGCAACTATAGGCCAGTAAGCCTTACTTCAGTAGTGGGGAAAGTGATGGAAACCATGTTAAAGAATAGGATTGATGAACATCTAAAAACACATGGATTTCAAGATCAGAGACAACATGGGTTTACTTCAGGGAGATCATGCCAAACTAATCTTATTGATTTTTTTGATTGGGTAACTAAAATTATAGATCAGGGTGGTGCAGTAGACATTGCTTACCTAGATTTCAGTAAGGCTTTTGGCACTGTTGCACATAGAAGGCTTATCAATAAACTGCAATCTTTAAGTTTGGATTCCAATATTGTTGAATGGGTAAGGCAGTGGCTGAGTGACAGGCAACAGAGGGTTGTAGTCAATGGAGTATATTCGAAGCTTGGGCTTGTCACCAGTGGGGTACCTCAGGGATCTGTACTTGGACCCATTCTCTTTAATATTTTTATTAGTGATATTGCAGAAGGTCTTGATGGTAAGGTATGTCTTTTTGCTGATGATACTAAGATATGTAACAGGGTTGATGTTCCAGGAGGGATAAGCCAAATGGCAAATGATTTAGGTAAACTAGAAAAATGGCCAGAGCTGTAGCAACTAACATTTAATGTGGATAAGTGCAAGATAATGCATCTTGGACGTAAAAACCCAAGGGCAGAGTACAGAATATTTGATAGGGTCCTAACCTCAACATCTGAGGAAAGGGATTTAGGGGTGATTATTTCTGATGACTTAAAGGTAGGCAGACAATGTAATAGAGCAGCAGGAAATAGTAGCAGAATGCTTGGTTGTATAGGGAGAGGTATTAGCAGTAGAAAGAGGGAAGTGCTCATGCCATTGTACAGAACACTGGTGAGACCTCACTTGGAGTATTGTACACAGTATTGGAGACCGTATCTTCAGAAGGATATTGATATCTTAGAGAGGGTTCAGAGAAGGGCTACTAAACTGGTTCATGGATTGCGGGATAAAACTTACCAGGAAAGGTTAAAATGCCAGGAATAGGTAAAAACAAAAGTTGTTTAAAGTGCATAAAGAGTGCAATAAAAAGAGGATTGGTACAATAAAGTAGCCAAAAAACTTTTATTGATCTAAAATACACAGTAAAATACAGAATTAATAACCATAAACGCGTTTCACCATAAGTGGCTTCTTCAGAATGGGATAAAAGTAGTAACCTGGCAGGGGTTGTTTAAATAGGGCTATGTTAATTTGAAAATTGCGCCAAAAGTGTAATTGGCCAATCAGAGACAATTTTTAAAATCACTTTTCAAAATTAGGATTCAAGAGTATGGGAGTGATGTTATAAAGGTGATGAGTCCATTTAAATTATTTAAATGTGAAAACTAGAGTGAGAAAGTTGTTTTTAAAGAGAAAGAAAGGAAAAAAAAAAAAAGTTGTTTGATTAAAGTTCAAAAAAAAACTTTGATTAAAATTTTTTTTTTATTTTTTTTTTGAACTTTAATCAAACAACTTTTGTTTTTTTTTTTTTTGGTGTACTATTTGTGTCTCAGTCTCCCATTTGGTCCCCTAGGGGAGTGTCCACCCGGTGGGAGACCTGCATAAATACTGGGCAGGTAGCCCTCATTAAACAGACCACTGCTTGACCCACAACACGGAGCCTTGTCTCGTCTTTGGGGGGATTTACTGTATGCTGATAGAGACTGATTGCTAGGAGTGTAAGCCGCTTGGGTGCTTTTCCTATTTGTCTGCTAGCAGCTATTCGTGAGGTTCCAGTTCGGGAGTTTGGAGTGATATTTTGTATCCAGTTCGGGAGTTTAGAGCATTCCCTTATATGCGGTTCGGGAGTTTGGTGTTCTGCAGTAGCTGTGCCTGTATCTCTGGAAAGGGAAGATCGACTAAACGGCGGTTTAACCCTTTTATGCCTGGGGGTGCTGTTAAATTATGCAAAACCCCAGGTCCAGGGACAGCCCCCTCTGGACCTGATGGGATACAGGGACAATACAAACAGTTGACCAATGACAATAAACTGCATCGTTTGAAATAGTCACCGCCCAGGTTGGAGATAATGATTACAACGATTATGGCAATTTAATTATCTCCAAGTGCCCAGAATCCCACATTTTATTTGAACATGTAAAACAGCATAAAAATACATATTTATAACTGTAGCGGAGATGTAGTATAATCCACAGTATCTCCGCTGGGTAACAGGAACAGCATAAAATAATCCAAGGAAATAAATACAGCATACAATAATCCCGGTTGCGTTGTAAGAATCCTTCCTTCCCAAGAACTAGACGACACATAGGCTGGGAGTCAACTGAGCTTTTATTCACAGGTCACTGTATTTATGGGATTCCCCATGCAAGGGGTTTCCCTACTGACATTCCAGGGGTGGTACAGTAGGGGACTACATGGGGAACTGAACAACCCGGATATTTCTCCCACCATGCACTGCTGCACAAAGGGGGATACTCCCACTAGAATATACAGTTAAGTGGATTATCCCTCCGTGCAGCAGAACTGACATTTTACATTAAAATGCATAACTTCCATAATATTCCCTTCATTTAAACGAATGGACGATCGGTAGATAGCTGGGGTCTGAGCGCATAGTTCGTGAGAATACCGCTCAGATCCCAGCATAACTAACCGAACGCCGCACGAAACACACATTATTTCCAAGTCACCTTTAAAGTACCGATTGGTATTAGGGGAACAAACTACCAAACGCCCGGGGCTCCTGAACGGCCTGGAAGTCCAGCGGTATTCGTGCCGTCGAGTAGCCGATTTTAGTTCCAGGCGCTCGACGACCAAATACCGCTGGGCTTAACAAAGGAACCAAGATTGCCGACCGCCGCGTGGTCGGTATCCGAACGACAGCTATCTAGGAAAGCCCTTAACTACCGATTGCAACAATGTTGCAATCGGTTAATGGGCGCCACACAACCTCTTGTGTGTGGTCGTCCATTCGGTAGTTTATTCGTTTCACGAACAGTGTTGAAATGCACTGTTCATGAAACTACAGTATGAATGCTGGGGTTTTTCATGCCGCCAGCATACGAATGCCCTTGTTCGCCTGAAATGTAGGTACAGTACTATACTTGGTTCTAACAGCTTTAACCCCTTAAGGACACATGACATGTGTGACATGTCATGATTCCCTTTTATTCCAGGCATTTGGTCCTTAAGGGGTTAAAGGTATATACACATATTCATACAGGTATAGTCTTAAGTGGCTAGTTTTGCAACAATGCTCACCAGCTTTTTGAGGGCCCACACCACAACCAATCGATGGCGGCATAGCTTACTTCTCTGGGTAACAGTTTTCGGCTTAGATAAGCTACTGGGTGTTCGCCGCTATCCGCTCCAACTTGGCTCAGTACTGCTCCCAATCCAAACATAGAAGCGTCTGTATGGACGAGAAAGCGTTTAGTTGGATCAAGAGCAGAAAGTTCAGGTGAGTTAACAAGTGCCGTCTTGAGCTGCTGAAATGCCTGTTCGCACTCTGGGGCCCATACTACTATCAGTGAGGGGTACTGTAGTTGTCCACAAATTTCCGGTAGTATCCTGCGGTACCTAGGAAGGCAAGTACTTGGGTTTTGGTGCGAGGGGTTGGCCACTTGGCAACTGCCTCTATTTTGGCAGGTTCTGGCTTCTGCTGTCCGCTTCCTACCCTGTGCCCAAGGTACTGAACCTCTGCCATCCCTATATGACATTTGCTGGGTTTGAGGGTCAGCCCGGCTTCCCTGATCCGGTCTAGTACGGCTCCTATGTGGGTCAGGTGCTCGGGCCAGGAGTAGCTGAAAATGGCGATATCATCTAAATATGCGCACGCGTACTCCTGGAACCCATCCAATAACCGATCTACCATCCTCTGAAAGGTAGCCGGGGCATTTTTCATCCCGAATGGCATGACCTTAAACTGATACAGGCCAAACAGGGTGACAAATGCCGATTTGGGCATAGCATCCTCTGCTAGCGGAATTTGCCAGTACCCTTTACACAGATCTATCTATGGTGAGGTACCGGCCCCTGGCCATTTTGTCCAGGAGCTCGTCTATCCTGGGCATAGGGTAGGTGTCCGAGGTCGTCCTATCGTTGAGCCTCCGGTAGTCTACAAAGAAACGGGTCGTCCCGTCCTGTTTTGGTACTAGTACTACGGGGAAGGCCCAGGGGCTGTCAGAATGCTCTATAACCCCTAACTGTAGCATTTCCTCAATCTCCTTCCGCATACTTTCTTTGACGGCTTCTGGTATGCGGTAAGGAGTTTGGCGAAGAGGAGTCTTATCCAGGATTTCTACCTTGTATAGCCGGGTAGATTGGAAAAAGTGGCTCCCTTTTCCTGTATTAACCTTTGCACTTGGGTTCACTCCTGGGGGTTTAACCGCTCTCCTAACTGTACTTCTCCCAGGTCTCCGCTCTGGCCCTCTTGGTCTAGGAGATCTGGGAGTGGCAAATTATCAAAGTCCTCGGTGGCAGGGGCACAGATCGCGGTTACCTCTTCGCTGCGCTCGTGGTATGGCTTGAGCATGTTCACATGGAGCATGCGTTTGCCTCCCGTGCCTGTGACCGGGCCAATCACATAGGTGGTATCACAGATCTGTTCTACCACCTTGTATGGGCCCTGCCAGGAAGCGTGCAGCTTATCTTTGTGGACTGGTCGTAAGATAAGTACCTTTTTCCCCACCTGAACGCTGCGGTCCCTGGCTCCCTTATCGTACCATCTGCGCTGTCGTTGCTGGGCTACCTGGAGATTGTCTCGTATGGTCTGGGTCAGCATCTCCAGGCGTTCCCTGAACTCTAGCACATAGGGCACAATGGGGGTGCCGTTAATAGTCCCTTCTCCCTCCTAGTGTTCCCGGATTAAATTGAGGGGGACCCTCACTCTCCTCCCGAATAACAATTTGAACGGAGAGAACCCGGTGGATTCTTGGGGTACTTCCCTATAAGCAAATAACAAGTGGGGTAAAAACCTTTCCCAGTCCTTCTGAGTGTCTATGAACGTACGGATCATCTGTTTAAGTGTTCCGTTAAACCGTTCACAGAGCCCAGTGGACTGGGGGTGATAAGCGGAGTTCAAGATTTGTTGTACCCCACATATCTTCCAGAGCTGATGTGTGACTTCCGCGGTAAACTGAGTGCCCATATCCAAAATAATCTCCCGGGGAAATCCTACGTGGGAGAATATTCGCATCAGGGCCTCTGCTACTGTTTCCGCATGCACGTTTGTCAAGGCTACTGCCTCAGGGTATCTGGTGGCATAATCCACCACGGTCAAGACATATTTGTTGCTGGAGGGGCTGGGCTTAGCTCCGGGTCCTATAATATCTACTACCACCCTACTGAAGGGTTCCTCAATTATGGGCAGAGACCGGAGGCGAGCTTTGTACCGGTCTTCCCTCTTCCCTACTCTTTGGCAGGTATCACAGGTCTGGCAATAACGTTCTGTGAAATACCTGGCCAAAAGAAGTTCTGGGTTAGCCTGTGCTTAGTGCGGCTGATTCCTAAGTGCCCAGACAGGGGAATATCATGGGCGATATGTAATAGTTCCAACCTATACTTTCGAGGCACTATTAATTGTTTAATGAGTAAAGGTATGGATCCGGACACCACTTTTTCCGCGTGACGGTACAGTAGTCCTTTGTCCCAGATGTATCTCTCCCCTTCTAATCCTGCCTGATCTTTATCTATACGGTCTTTGTATACCTGCAGAGAGGGGTCTAGGGCCACTTCAGAACCAAAGGTTGTTGCCCAAAATAACGTCGGCTGGCAAGTCCTGCATCATCCTCACATACACATTCCCGTGCCCCGCTCCCCAATTCAAGTGCACCTTGGCCGTAGGTACTTTGTAAATCGCCCCCCCCTGCCACCCGTACAGCAACACAGTCTCCAGTTAAATTGGGTTTAGGTACCAAATGACTTCGGACTAGTGTTAAGGTAGCCCCAGAGTCACAAAGTCCTTGTACCTTTTTCCCCTCCATATGGACCTCCTGTCAGTGCCCTTGCCGGTTGTCAGAGGTGGCCTGGATGGGGTTCCTAGCGGTTCTTCCATTGGAGTCACAGCCTCGGTCGTTCCATACTGTTTTGTTCTGTATGTCCGCTCGGTTGCTCCAACTGGGCCTGGGTCGGTTGCATGGGCAGTCCCGCTGGATATGCCCCTGTTGGTTGCAGGAGTGGCACCGAATTGGTGGACGTGCAGGGTACCTGGGGGTGTAGTTATTTTGGCTTACCCCAGGTCATGGCTGGATAGTGGGAGTCACTGCTGGTATCGTCGGTGTGGGGTTGTACACTGGTCGGTTTTGGGTGCACTGGTCCCTCTTGGCAGCCTCTTGCAGGGTGTGCGGTTTTCGGTCCCTTACCCAATTCTGTAGGTAGGCAGGTATTCCGTCGAAGAACTGTTCCATGACCATCAATTGGAACACGCCCTCCAACGTGTTAACCTGGGTGGCTTTCAACCACCCCTTTGCAGCTCGCTGTAGCCGGTGTGCCCACTCTACATGGGTGTCTTTCGTTGGCTTTTTAATGTACCAAAACTTTATGCGGTATGCCTCTGAGGTGATCGCATACCGGGCTAAAATTGCTTGTTTTACATTGTCGTAGTCTCTACTGTCCTCATCCGGCACAGCCCGGTACGCCTCTGCTGCGCGACCGGATAGTCTCCCTGCTAGTAGAGGTACCCGGTCCACCTCGCTGATGTCGTGTAGTTGACACAGCCTCTCAAAATCCTGCAGTTAGTCATCTACGCCACCGTCAGCCTCTGAATAGCTTTTGAAGGCTTGGTAGGGAATTTTGGCTTTCCCTGGGAAAATGTTGACCGGTGTCGTGGCTCTTTCTCCGGCTTGTTGGTTTCTCTGTGCCTCTCTGAGCATGATGTATTCCTGCATATCTGCGAAGATCCTTCAGATGGTCGGTTTGGGAATAAAGCCATCCTGCTCCTGAATTCTTTTGCGAATTCATGTTGATCTTCCTCCATTGGAGGTGCTGCAGCAGCTGCTGCTCTGTCTCCTTCCATCAGTTCTGTAATCAAGATAGCCTTCGCCTTTTTGCTGACTATTGCTCTTCTTGATTCAAGTAATTCTTTTAATGTGCTTCATTTCAAAAGGGCATAATTTGTTCCCATTCACTGGCCGTTCGCGGATTTCCACGTGTTCCTGGCTCAGGTTTCATCCGAATGGGTTAACTCACGAATTGTTGCTCTTTCTCCTCTATTCATTTTAATTTCTGCCCATCATTGCTTTGCTGTATAGTTTCAGTCCCGTCGCTTTCCACCAATTGTAGCGGCGAGGTAGTATAATCCACAGTATCTCCGCTGGGTAACAGGAACAGCATAAAATAATCCAAGGAAATAAATACAGCATACAATAATCCCGGTTGCGTTGTAAGAATCCTTCCCTCCCAAGAACTAGACGACACATAGGCTGGGAGTCAGCTGAGCTTTTGTTCACAGGTCACTGTATTTATGGGATTCCCCATGCAAGGGGTTTCCCTACTGACATTCCAGGGGTGGTACAGTAGGGGACTACATGGGGAACTGAACAACCCGGATATTTCTCCCACCATGCACTGCTGCACGGGAGGGATACTCCCACTAGACTATACAGTTAAGTGGATTATCTCTCCGTGCAGCAGAACTGACATTTTACATTAAAATGCATAACTTCCATAATATTCCCTTTATTTAAACGAATGGACGTTCGGTATAACTAACCGAACGCCGCACGAAACACACATTATTTCCAAATCACATTTAAAGTACTGATTGGTATTAGGGGAACAAACTACAGAATGCCCGGGGCTCCCGAACGTCCTGGAAGTCCAGCGGTATTCATGCCGTCGAGTAGCTGATTTTAGTTCCAGGTGCTCGACGACCAAATACCGCTGGGCTTAACAAAGGAACCAAGATGGCCGACCGCCGCGTGGTCGGTAGCCGAACGATGGCCACCTAGGAAAGCCCTTAACTACCGATTGCAACAATGTTGCAATCGGTTAATGGGCGCCACACAACCTCCTGTGTGTGGTCGTCCATTCGGTAGTTTATTCATTTCACGAACAGTGTTGAAATGCACTGTTCGTGAAACTACAGTGTGAATGCTGGGGTTTTTCATGCCGCCAGCATACGAATGCCCTTGTTCGCCTGAAATGTAGATACAGTACTATACTTGGTTCAGCTTTAAAGGTATATACACATATTCATACAGGTATAGTCTTAAGTGGCTAGTTTTGCCACAATAACATTTTAGTAGGCACCTCTTACATTCTACCATTCATTAGATAGCTCAGGTCTGAGCGCATCCGATAGGCGAATAGCGCTCAGACCTCACGAACGCCCCTATTGCATACAAGTCTTTTCGTGTTTCTTTGTCCCGAACACGAGATGGCAGCCATGTTTTCTGTCGGTCAATAGGTGATCGGGACCTGGCTCCAAAACCCCTGGATCGAGAAACGCCCTGAAGAGGCAATTAGCCTGCGGTTAACCGCAGCCTCAATGTTCTGATTAAGAGCACACGCCGGAGTGTAGGTGGTCCTCGTTCGGGAGTTTGAGTACGGTGAAGTCTTATACGAACGAGGCCACCCTGAGGCAGTCAATTAAGTTTGTGGTTAACTGCAAACCGCAGTTTCCCGGTGGTCGTCCGTTCGGTTGTTTTAGAGGTGAAAAAGGTTAAGTGGCGGCACACACCAAGGACTGGGTGGTCTTAGTTTGTATGCACGAATATATGCTCCTGGTTGTTTGTGTAATTGGGTGTATACAACAATAATACCGAAGAGAACGGCATACGGTAACTTACATTAAAGTAATCCATTACTGGGCTGTAGGGCGTCCTTAACACATTCATGCTGTGTCTTGTAAATGGTGATTTTAGTTTGTTTATTGTGTTTTGTTTTGTTTTACAGCCTGGCTTATTCCTGCAAAGAAACCCCCTCCACAAAAACTGTCAGCCTTTCAGTTAATGGATAACATCGATCCGGCCATATTTGACCTCTGTGCAGAAAGCAGCGCGAATCTGATGGCTGCGGAATCCTGGCTTCAAAAGCGGATTCTGGACGAGCAGTCAGAGAACTTGATAGAAGATGAACTGATTGCAGACTTTGACGTTTCAGATCTGGAGAAATTTTCTGAACTGCAAAAGAGGTTACAGGTTCACATGGAATACAAACCAGCCACTTCGAGCGTTCGAGTTTCTGGTCTCAGCAGAGATGCAGCGCGTGCTGTACTTGAAATCCAGAAGATGATTGGCAAACTAAAGGACCGGAAAAACAGGGAGAAGGAGGCAGAACTGCTCAGCAATACGGTGGAGTGGAAATACGAATATCAGGGAAGATTGTACAGATTTGATCATTTAACTAGCTTGGAATTGGAGGAGGTGGACAAAGCGAAGAAACCAACAGTCACCGTTTTTATTAGCGGAAAAACATTCACTGTCCACATGCAAAGCAAAACTGCCACAGACAGCCACGGGAACAGCGTAAAGATTGTACGAGTGAACAAACATGGTAAATAAAAGCAATATTGTCCAATATTATCTAGGTACGTATGTATCAACAAACTAAAAACATTTAACTTCTCAAAGTTCCATTTCACTCATTCCTGTGTGTAGCGGAGCTCCAATACCACATGGGTATCTCCTCTATTCCTTCCTTGAAGTTGAAAGAAGCAGTATAATATTCCAAGACACTTTCCCCCCAGTAACTAGACGACACATAGATCTGGGAGTCAACTGAGTTTATTTTGACCACCACATGGCTTTTATGCACTGACCCCTACATGGGGTCTCCACATCAACATTACAAGAGTTTTCCTCGCAGGTTCCTCTGTTTCTAAGAGATGATTGAGATAGCAAAACTATAACTCAATTATCTCTCAGATACAGTAAAACATACACAATTTTAATAACATGGGAACCACACGAATGTCATATCTCCGAATAGCTTGGGTCTGAGCACCCACTTTATCAAAATAGCGCTCAGATCCCTTTGGCAGTCCAGGAACGCCATAAAAATGAAGTTTTGACCCGTTGGCCACAAGGTGATGCCCCAAAACCGTTCCAAAGCCGTTCTCATAACTGTTCGAGAAGTTGGATGGGCAGCAGTACAAGTTTCCCGGGTGTTCGGGGGGTTGCATATCCAAGAGATAGTTCCATGCCATCAACGACCATGTACCACTGCCTGCGTTCAGGCAACAAAATGGCCGCCAGTTCTTGGAGCACGTGTGTTCTGTTATACAAATGGCGGCCACACAGGGGAAAAACTTGCACTAATGTGGTCGGTGATTAGAAGGTGTGAACAAGGGGACCACACAGAGTTGGTTCGGTAAACAAACAGGGGTTTACGGACAGCCAAACAAAAGGGAATAAAAGTGTAGTTAGGGCATCCATTCCACTACACTGTTTCTTGTATAGTTTACTGAGTGTTGATATTGGAGTGATGTGTTTTATTTATTTATATTCTTCAAACCTCATGTTCAATCCTGACGTTTCCATCTCAAAAACCGCCCCTATTTATCGCCAGATAAGGTGTTGGTCCATTCCACTGTCCTTTCTCGCCTTGACTACTGTAATCCACTTCTCAGTGGTCTTACGTGCTCCCAACATGCGCCGTTATAGTCCATAATGAATGCAGCAGCGAGGCTCATCTTCCTGTCCACCCGCGCCTCCCATGCCTCACCATTCTGTCAGTCCCTACATTGGCTTCCTATAAAATATAGAGCTCAATTTAAAATTCTGGTTCTTGCTTTCAGATCTCTACATAATGCTGCTCCCACCTATCTATCCTCCATAATACACAAGTATGTCCCGTCTAGGCCCTTACGATCTGCTGAAGACTTACGTCTATCATCTGTCCGTACTCCCACCTCTGATGCTCACCTTCAAGATTTCCCTCTAGCATGTAAGCTCATTGAGCAGGGCCCTCAACCCCTCTGTTCCTGTGTGTCCAACCTGTCTGGTTATAACTACATGTCTGTTCATCCACCCATTGTAAAGCACTGCGGAATTTGACGGCGCTCTATAAATATCATAATAATAATAACTACATGTCTGTTTGTCCACCCATTGTAAAGCGCTGCGGAATTTGTTAGCGCTATATAAATACCATAATAATAATATCAATAATAATATATATATGTGCGTGTGTGTAGTGTGACTTGAGGGGGCCTTAACACTGTGTTAGAGACCACGGTGGCATCCTGTGTTACCCAATGCAGCAGAATGTTCTGAAACCCTGATGGCACCTAATATTACCCAATGGAACAGAACTCTTTGATGGCACCCTATATTATATCCCATGTGGTAAAAGCCTCTGAACCTTCTGATGGTGCCCCATGGAATTGAACCATCTGCTAACATGGTGTGCCTGCAGAACCCTCTGAATCCCCTGATGGCACTCCATGTTACTACCTGAACAGAATCCTCTGAACCTCCTGATGTCACCCCAAATGGCAGAACGTTCTGGACCACCTGTTGGCAACCTAGGTTACCCTATGCTGCAGAATCCTCTGAACACCTTAACCCTCTGAACCCTGTAATGGCACCCCACATTATCCCCATGGTGCAGAACCCTCAGAATCTCCTTATGGCATGCAGCAGAAGTCCCTATTGGCATCCCATGTTACTCCATGCAGCAGAACCCCCTAATGAGAACCTGCAATGGCACTCCATGTTACACCCATGCAGCAGAACCTGGATGCAGATAGGGTAGACATCTCATGGCAGAGAGTATTACTATTATGTTTCACTTCTCTTTTCATGGTTTTTAGAGACTGATTTAGACCATATTGTGTTTTCCAGAAGGAGAGTCCTTAGAGTTACCTGCAGATTGGGACCCGATGGGTAGCAGTCTGGTGAAATTGGTGCAGCTGAATACCTCCGCACCAGAATACACAAATGTCCAGACGCTGTTTGCAAGAACTTGTCATATGAGAATACTGAAGGTAATTATCTCTCTTCTAATGTAAAGTTGTCCTTTCTGTGTAAATGTGACCATGCCAATACAAAAACAATAGTGGTACCCTAACCACCAACACATCGGTAAACTCTGAAAATGGTGGTAAAACAGAAATAAACAAACACCATCTTTCTTGTTTATTTCTAAATGTGACGTGGCCTGACCAAGACATTGCTCTGTCTGGGTCCAAGAACAAGATGCTCCCCCCACCCAGAATGCCCCCCACATCCTATACAGACACACACACAATGCACCCCATCCTACACAGACATACCCACATAATGC